ACAACTGCGCGTCAGCTACTGCTAACGTGTTGGTGAACTTATCCAAACGGGGGTCTCTCGCATATGACATCCTAAAGTGAATACCATCAATATCGCCCTAGTGATATGATGAAAAACATATTCCACGACTACTGCATATCACCGCGAGTTTTTCACCGAGTTTTACGCCACTTCGCACCACTTCAGTGGTGGGTGTTGGGAAGCGAGTTGGACGAGAAGCTCAGCGGAGAGCGTGGTCCATCCCAGCACCCACCACAATATGGAGTGAGCGAACACTCTTTGCCAACAGGTGATGAAACTCCGATGTAAATCTCGCTCGCCCTACTCATTCGTGAACATCATTTATATGTTTCGTTGATATACATTAAATATCAGCGGGAATCCTTATCTCACCTAAAATAACTTCTTGAAATTTTTTGTTCTTCGCAAACCTCATGATCTCCCGAGTCCAGTGTTGGAGTAGGAATATATGTTCGCATTCGTCAGCTGACCTCAGGACTTTCCTCACCAACTATACAAATTTATATACGAATTCGGGTAGAAAGATATACAGGTAGTTCCTGTCCGGAACCACCGAGAATTCCCAAAAAATTTTCCCGAATTTTCATATTCTCGCCACATTCACATGTAATTGACAATATGCATATTTTCCCACACTGCCCAAGCTTACGTTAATTGACCAGCGACAGCCAGTCGCTGCCTCAAATGATGTCTAGCAGTCACTTCGGTATACTGCTTGCCTCCAGTCTCCGTAGTGCCCGAGACATAAGGTGATACTAACGCACAGAGTATCTGATCAATTCTGGTCCACCCACATCAGTGTTGGAGTAGTAGAAATATATTTAATCGCTTTCCTCAGCTGCTGAGCTCAGGAGTTTCCTATACAGTGTTGGGGTAGCAATATATGTAATCGCTTTCCTCAGCTGCTGAGCTCAGGAGTTTCCTATACAGTGTTGGGGTAGCAATATATGTAATCGCTTTCCTCAGCTGCTGAGCTCAGGAGTTTCCTATACAGTGTTGGGGTAGCAATATATGTAATCGCTTTCCTCAGCTGCTGAGCTCAGGAGTTTCCCATACAGTGTTGGAGTAGGAATATATGTAATCGCTTTCCTCAGCTGCTGAGCTCAGGAGTTTCCTATACAGTGTTGGAGTATGAATATATGTAATCGCTTTCCTCAGCTGCTGAGCTCAGGAGTTTCCTATACAGTGTTGGAGTAGGAATATATGTAATCGCTTTCCTCAGCTGCTGAGCTCAGGAGTTTCCCATACAGTGTTGGAGTAGGAATATATGTAATCGCTTTCCTCAGCTGCTGAGCTCAGGAGTTTCCTATACAGTGTTGGAGTAGGAATATATGTAATCGCTTTCCTCACCAGCTGAGCTCAGGAGTTTCCCATACAGTGCTGGAGTAGCAATATATGTAATCGTTTTCCTCAGCTGCTGAGCTCAGGAGTTTCCTATACAGTGTTGGAGTAGGAATATATGTAATCGCTTTCCTCAGCTGCTGGGCTCAGGAGTTTCCAAAGCTAATTATAGAAGTTTAAACTCGACTTGATGAGGGAGTGCACAGAAACTAACAGGAATTCCCCAGAATTTCCTCAAAATTTCCATATTGTCATCGCCAACAAACGTAGTTGATCATGTGCATATTTTCCCCCGCACTACATAGCACAAACTGTACTAGTCGTTTTTGCGATAAGACTAAACTCCACTGTTTTCTCACAAGTTTGGTTTATCAATATGATCAGACACATCAAACCTATTTACCTCCTTATACCCACCTTGACAACACAGCAGAGTTTCTTCACATATCTCTCCCCCTCCTCAACCGAATATGAGCTCGAGGGAGGCACATGCTCAGTCCAGGCAAACGTCGGCCGAATCACAAAAGCTGACAACAAGTATCTGATAAAAAATATGCACACAGTCCATGGAAATTCTTCATCCCTCAACAACTGAGATTTTAACGACACTCAGATGTACTAGCATAATTCTAACTGAGGTGCAGAGTAACGACATAATACCAACACCAGTGTTGGAGGAGTATATGTTCGCTACCCTCAGCTGATCGCATTAATTCACTCACTGATTAAGCTCTATTCGAGAATCCGAGTAACAAGATTACAAAAACCAACCAAGAAAATTCAAAATTTCCTCAGAATTTCCTTATTGTGACCAACACATCTATAGCAGTATGTGTATCGACGTACTAGACCACAATGATATCGACTTATTCTCCACAACCGAAAACTGACGTATGAAGTAGGTAAACATCGCAATACACAAAGCACAGGTGAACATAGCAACGATATGAAGTATATACGTAAAAGTGAAAGTATATAAAAGTAGTATAGAACTCAAAAATTAATACAGATATATGCAAGCTTGTCGCTAAGAATACGTTTAGTGTTGCACGTGGCGGAATATGTTTGACATTTTTTCCGATTCCCTTTTCCTCCACATCTTGTAGATGAAATAAAATCACACTCAGCACTATAGCAGGTCAACTCTTACTTTATGAATTTCCCAGAATCACGGCTTAGTTTACTCCCGAGCAGCACAGCTAGTATGTCAACATCAGCAAAGGAGTGATGGAAGTAATTCGCAACGTAGAATTCATGTTCGGATCGTACGGCGTCACCTGAGTGATAAATCGAATGAACATATTGCCGCTCATAGGCTCGTTTGCCGAATATTTGAGGAATGAATGTCAATCGTTTTACTCTACCAAGTACAGTGTGAGAGATGTCCTACCCGGGGATCGAACCGGGGACCTATGTCAAATTCATTGATCGAATTCATAGATATGGAATAAGTGAGCTCCGCCCCTTCGTCACGAAGGCCTAGTGTGACAGTCTGTGCGTTGTTGATATCATTAGCGTTTTGTGTAATGTGTCTACTGCTAGGCTAAGACACATGACACAAAAACTATAACGTTAACTATCAACAGGGCAACCTGTTACACTAGTACATTTACATGGTCAACTACATGTTCTGACGACTTTATGGAAATTTTGGGAAAATAATATTGGTTTCCAATGTAAATGAGTTAACTCCTGTGCTGAGGAGAGCAAACACATATTCCTCCAACACTGGAGTTTCACCTGTTTTACGTGAAGTGGCGTAAAACTCGGTGAAAAACGCGAAATTCGCGGTGATATGCAGTAGTCGTGAAATAGGTTTTTCACAGCACGGGTGAAACTCCACGGAACCGGACCAACCTTGCTTACCATTTCTGACCCACAAACCACTGCACACTTCCTCGTGCATAACCAACGACCTCAGCGGGAACTCCACCAGCCTCGTTATTTCAACATCATCATCACCATCACCACCAAGTTGCACTGGTATTCCTTCCATACCACACCTAGATCAATTTCCGCGTAAATCTTCCGCGTGCGCAACGAGAAGTATCTTACTTCTGCAACGTGAGTGTATACAACATCACATAAAACCTCGAAAGTGGAACATGCATCGAGCAAAGATCTCGATCGCTATCCCATCTCCTCGACACAGGTGAAATCTTAGGAAGCACATCCTGAGCCTCAGACCAGACGAACGGGGCTTTCGGAGCGACTGAATAAATACAATGGAGTTTCACCCTAGTGATATGAAAAACATATTTGACAATTGACTTGAAAACAATTATATTATCGGTGTTGGCGGAATCAGCATAGACGCCTTATAATTCACATTTAGTATTATACCACTTCACGGGTCGTGAAACTCCAATAATTTCCATCCATGGACTAAATTAGTATCAAAATATGATGGATAGAATCGTTATTGATATATTAAGTGAAGTTTCACCAACCTAGTGATATGAAAAACACTGCTGCATATCACCGCGAATATCTCGAGTTTCACACCACTTCGCGTAAAACTCCATAAAATCTCACCTAATCACCACAAGTTCAGCCCATCAAACACGTCGAATAATAACAGAGCACAGTTGGTTTACATTCGAAAACTCCGTCCTTCTCTATCGCCCCGATACCAGGCGCCAGTCTCGTTTCCCAATCTATCAATGCATCACGGACTTGCAGTAGAAGCTCTCCACACAACTTGGGTGAAGCATAACTAATATAAAAATAGGAATTACATTTCCGGACAAAATTTCGTCAAAGTTGAAAAATCAACGTGAAACTGTTGTCATCATTTTTGCGCAAAAACAAACATACTCACGATGATACCGAATATTCATCACCGTGCTTTCAAAATACTCAGACGATATACTCCATTTAGTACACCCCTCCACATATTCTTAGCATATCCGGTTTTTCGACTCGTGCACAGCCACCACAACGAGTATCATCTTGTGGCTCAGGGAGGTATGTACTTATGCTTTACCTGATATGACCTCCAAGTTTCAGGGCCAAACACTTCGTAGTTAGTGAGAAGTCGAAGACCGGTAAAACGTTTTCTCCACATATTCTTAGCATACACGTGTTAAAATTGCGCCTCAAGATACCAACTTTTACTCGGGAAGTATATCTATTACTCCGCTCCTGATCTAATGCTATACATCAACAGAAAGAGAATCGTTCGTAATGGTATCCCTCCATGTTTCACTCTCATATTTGGAGGCATCCAGCCAAAACTGAGCAGAGCAGCTGATGAGCACCAAAACGCGCCGTAACAAGGTGTAAAACCCGCCATGCAGGAGTCGTCGGAGGTCAAGACGCACTAGCAGGCTTG